ATTGAGAAAAGAAATATAAGGCGTTACACTTCTCATGTTAACATAGAGATTAAACACCTCAAAGGTTTAAAAATATCATACTTTATGAGTTTGGAGGAAGATAAGAAGGAAGGATTTGAGGAGGAAGATGTTAAAATTTTCTTTAATCCATTATGTAATTTTTATTATGCAATAACTATTATGAAATTACCTTTTCCCTTTGAGATCTTGAATTATGTTGTTCTCACAATACAATATATGGTTCTCATACAATTAAGGGTTTAGAAAGCACTAACCTAAATCTATTGTTCCTTGATGTTACTTCTCTCTTTGATGTCTTTAATCCCTTTGTATTTTCCTCAGCTCTTCCTTCTTCTTTTAGCTCCTCTCGGATGGTTGAGAGAAAGTTTCCACTACTAGAAAACTTGAAAATATAGACGGATTTACAGACGGATTTTTTCACTATTACAGATAAATTTTAACATTACAAACAGATTTACAGACAACTACAGTCTGTCTGTAATATGTGCATCGATAAATAATTAAATCCGTCTGTAATTTACAGACGAAAAAATCTGTCTGTAATTCATTTATGAAATTTTAAAAAAATTATTTTATTTTTTTATAAACATAATTATTTCTCGCTGTTCTTAATTATCACAATTTATAAACATAATAAAAACTACAAAATTATATATTTAAAATTAAAAGTTATCTATAAAATGTAAAATTAAAATTTCATTACAAAGGAAGAAGTAAACATCTAGAAAAATAATATAAAAAATAAAATAACATTGTATATTACTAATAATCGGCGTGATCATCTTATGAAAAAGTATCGCCACCAGTAGAGGAAGAGTCAGAGATGAATGACGCATGGAGCTGAAGATTGGTGGTGTTGGAGCTGGTGGAGGAGGAAGAAGAGGTGTAGAGGTGCTTGCTCTCATGAGCTCAAAGTATGCATGCATCTGCTGCATCTGTTGTTGCACCTCCCTCTGCATCCTCAATGCCACCTTCTTCTCTATCTTCTTCTCCATTTTCTTCACTCACTTCTTCTTCCATGCACTTTCCTTACTCTTCCACATCTCTTCATTTTGCTTCTGTAGTTCTTCATTGAGGGCATGGACCTGAGTGCGGACCATGTCTTCCACTTCCTCAGGTACAAGAGAAGGGGCAATATTGTATCAACCAAATATAATACATGTTTAGAGACCTCTACAATATGCAATATTGCATATTCTACAAACTCCACAAACACAAATAATCAAACAGCACACAATAATCAGGTTTGGATAAGGACCTCTACGCCCTTCCCCCCAGTCATACAATCTTCAATCCTACAACTCTATCTTAGAAATTCTAAGTCTCTAAAATACATCAAAAATAAAATAAACTGAACCGATTAAAAGTTAGAGTATCATACCAGGAACACAATGATGCAAATTATCTTTCAAATGGATGCTCCAATCACTCGCAAAGGCCAAAAAAATGAAGCTCTTTGAGAGAGAGACAGAGAGAGGAGAGAGAGATTTATAAAAAATGAGGAAGGGGAAGGGGGAGGCACGAATTTATGGGTTTCAGACATTACAGACGGGAAAATCCGTCTGTAAATAGTTTAATGAAACGGTGCGTTTTAAATATCCAGTTACAGAAGAATTTTTCCATCTGTAAATTCGTCAAGTCCATTTATAGACAGATTTTTCCGTCTGTAAATTGCGACATGAAAAGTCGGTTAAGAAAGGGCAATATTTACAGACAGGAAAATTTGTCTGTAACTCCCGCTCCAAATTTCCCTCCCTTTTTCAAATTACAGACAGAAAAATTCGTCTGTAATTTCTATCTATACTGTTTTGCGCCAAATGGCAGACAAACTACAGACGAATATTACAGACAAATTTTTATTCATCTGTAGTACAGACGGGTATTATAGACAAATTTTTATCCGTCTGTAATACAGACGAATTTTTCAAAAAATTTAATAAAAAAATAAAAAAGACAAATCCGTCTGTATTACAAATGGATAAATATTCGTCTGTATTACAGATGGATAAACATCTGTCTGTAATATTCGTCTGTAATCAGCGCTTTTCTAGTAATGTCCTTTGATGTGTTTACCATGAGTTCACGTGAAAGTGAAAGAATAGAGAATCTCATAACCCCTATTTGGTAACTGCTCTTTAATTTATATGAAGGGAGAGGGGAGGGTTTTCTTATAATTGTATTTACAATTATACCCTCAATGACTCTATATTTTATATTCAACCACCATCACATTAAATCATTAATTAGAGTCATGTTATAAGTTACATAGGTCACTATAATAAGATTATTAAAATAATCTAACAACTCCCACTAGGCCTATGTGACGACTTGAAGATTCAATGAACTGTGAGTGCGCATATCATTGATAATATCAACTCATCATCTTTTAATGATTTAAGTTGATCGGATCATAGTGGTCACAAGTCATTTGACGACATGATTCCTTCCAAGTATCACAGAACCAACCCAAATCAAAATAGCTTTAATCAGTCATACTACAAACTGTAACCGTGATGTGTTTTTAACACTCAACCTGTTATCAAACTCAAACCATACATGCACATTAGCACAATTCAAATAACAAGTAAACAAGCAGAAACAATACTTTTATTGAATTCCCAAAATGTCTACAATAATATGAGCAAAACAATCTATTCACATATATGTGAATCACACAATCATGCTAACAAGGACTTGTCTATAATGCCCATTCTACCAACATGGCCAGAAAATGTTTTAGGGGGCAATCCTTTAGTTAGCGGATCCGCTATCATTAAATCAGTTCCAACATGCTCAATAGACACTTTCTGTTTTCGCACTTCTTCTTTCACTGATAAGTATTTTAAGTCCATATGCTTTGCTCCCTTTGAATACTTATCATTCTTAGAGAAGAAGACAGATGCAGAATTATCACAGTACATTCTTAGCGACTTTTCTATATTATCAACAATACCAAGCCATAAGACAAAGTTTCGTAGCCACAAAGCATGAATAGTGGCCTCAAAGCACACCACAAATTCCGCTTCCATGGTAGACGTAGCAATAATGGACTCCTTTATGCTCTTCCATGAAATCGCACCTTCAGCCAACAAGAAGATGTAGCCAAAGGTCGATTTCCTTAAGTCTACACATCCAGCATAGTCTGAATCCGAGTAGCCAACCACTTCCAAGTGATTAGATCTCCTATAAGTAAGCATGTAGTCCTTAGTGCCTTGTAAATACCTAAGGACTTTCTTTGCAGCCTTCTAGTGGTCCATTCCGGGATTACTTTGATATCGACCTAACATTCCAACAGCAAAACTGATATCAAACTGAATGCATGTCTGAGCATACATTAAACTCCTGACCACTAATGCATAGGGAATAGATTCCATTGCTTTCTGCTCCAACTCATTCTTGGAACACTACATTTCACTAAACTTGTCTCTCTTTTGAATTGGAACCACCCCTGATGAGCACTTTTCCATTTTAAATCTCTCTAATACTTTGTTGATGTAGTCTTTCTGAGACAATCTCAGTAATCCTTGTGATGTATTACGGAATATTTCTATTCCAATCATGTAGGAAGTCTCACCCATATCTTTCATCTCAAAGTTCTTAGAGAGAAACTCCTTTATATCATGCAATAGCCTAACATAATTAGTAGCAAGAAGAATGTCATCAACATACAGGACTAAAATGATGAAATTGCTCCCGCTGACCAAAATATTTTTCAATTAAAAGTAGTATAATGTCTTGAACTTTAGCAAGTTTATTTGTAGTATTACTACATAAGCAAACCAAGTCTTCTCAACTAAACTTGCATAGGCAAGACAAAAGATCAAGTAGCTTAGAAATGAAAAGTTTTTGCCTTCCTACTCTAGGATTTCCTTCAATTCAAAGGAAAAGGGTTGTAATCTAAGTTATGAGGAGTTAAGATTTCTACTAAAGCTTGAGAAAATTTAAGACATCAATCAACATATGCAAGACATTTATCAATCTTTTTTTTTTTTTTAACATGAAGTCTATTTTGAGTCATTATCTTCCAAGTATATTGATCCATAACAAATTCTTAGTCCATAAGACTAAAATTTGCTAGTATTTTTGCAAAAATATAAGCTCTTAAAGGCCAAAAATTCTTCCACAATTTGCGAGGAGAATAATATGTTGTTAAAATCATCAATTATAAATGTTGTAGGGTGCGATATATATTGGACCTGCATATATAGTTTAGCAATACCATTTTATATTTCTAATTGTCATAGGAAAAGTGATGGCTTGATGAATATTGTAAATGAAAGAGAAGGCAACAGTATCAAGAGGAATTTAGACCTAAATGCCACTTGAATAACCTCAAGCTTATTTGATAAACAATGTTTTGTACCTAGAGACAACCACATGTTTTCCACCCTTAAGAAAGACCCATAGGTTTCATTCGTGGCAAAAATGATGATATTGTGTCACAGAATCACTAACATGACACCTAGACTCATAACATGATATTAAGAATATTTTTCATTGTATCATAAAAAATATGGAAACAAATCATAAAAAATAAATGTTAAGTAGCATTTCTAATTTATTCTTATCATCTCATAATTTAAAGAATTTGTTTATGATCATTTTATTTCTCTATACCAACTTTTAATTGAAGGACGTTGTCATCATTTAATAAGTAAAATTATGTATCTAAGAGAAAGTCAAGAGCTTGTTTATTTACTATTTTTAAAATTAATTTTTTATTTTTAAGAATTAAAAATTAATTTTTTATTGGTCAGTTTTATAAAAAAAAATCTAAAAAAAAATCTACAACAGTCATAGAAAATCATTTTTCATCAAATTTTTTCTAACTTCTATTTCTTTTTCATCCGGATATTTTGGCTGATGTTCTCATTTCATCCAGATTAAAGAAAACGAAGGGATAAGAAATGGGCCAGGCCCAAAACGGATTGGGTGACTCAAGCAGATGCATAACCGAGCGAGACCCAGTAGGAATTTCGTTATCATCACAAATATTACTACGATAAAATGAAGTGAGAGAAAAGGGCTCGTAATGTTCCCACTCTGATCTGACACCTCACACTGCGAACGGCAATGGCTATCTCATCCACCTTCTCAAACTTTTTCTCTTTTCTCCTCCCACCAAAGCCACAACCTATCCCTTCTCCTTCCCTCACTCGTTTCCCAACTCAGAACCACAAACTGAGTGACAACAACTCCGTGCAACTCGTTTCCCAACAGAATGATCACTCTTATTCCTCTTTGTCAGACTTGTCCTCCGTGATGAACCCCTCTCTTGCACACTCGAACACGCTCTTCTTCCGCTCAGCCTACAACGTGCAAGTGGTGGTGGACGAGAACGAGCCCGAAGAGAGGCTTCTCAACAGGTTCCGAAGAGAGGTTATGAAAGCCGGTATCATACAAGAGTGCAAGAGAAGAAGGTTCTTTGAGAACAAACAGGAAGAGAAAAAGCGCAAGACACGTGAAGCTGCCAAGCGTAAAGGCAGAAGCAGGTACACTGTTTTTCGTTTCTTTTATTATTATTATTATTATTATTTAATTTCGTTTTCCGTTGATGGGTTGTATTTTGCGTTGATGTTGTGAAGATTTCAAATTATCTCAATTAGCCTTTAGCACAGTAAGATAAATGGTTGCATTTGCAATTTACGACGTAATGGGATGTTGCAATTAAAGTTCCCCGCTTCCCCGACTGTATGTTACAACTTTTAACTTTGTGACAATGCATTGTATGTGTATCGGGATCATGTTTTATGTGTGTGTTGTGTCCTTCTGGTTATAGTTTCTCTTAAGAGGTTTATTCAATTTGTGTTTCTTCCACCATTTTCAGGCGCCCTCAATTGAGATCTCCAATGCTAAACAAGCAGGATGTTCAAAATACCAAGAAGGAAGAGGCTGATGATGATAACTGGGATCTACCAGAAGTAGATGCTCCATATATTTGAACCACATGATCCCCCTTACACTCTATGATTCCTCACATTTTTATTGTGAGAGAGGCTTTTTATGCGTGTGAGTTCTGTTATGTAAAATCAATTTCTTGGACTCTATTAGTGTGTTTTTCAGTTTACATTTTACTTGATGGTATGCAATTTATTCATTTGTGGATTAAAATTTTGTTCTGCCCTTGATTCTATGTAATCTTGCAGCAGTCTGTTTATTCTCCCCTCTTGCATCAATTTAGAATCCCCTTTTTATTTGAATTTACCAGTCCTATAAAAGTTACATGTCCTATCAGAAAAATAAGAGTTGCATAGAACGAAAATTTGTCTGTTCATAGAAAATGTGTTTTCATTGGAAATTGAAATGCCTACAGCATCTTCCAAATGACAGAGGTTGTCCTGTTGGAAGAAGCAATTGTACTAAAGTTTACTTATGTTTGGATTTTGGAATATATCCATAATCCATCAACACCTGTAACTGTGAATGCTGTTAGAGTTAGTTGCTGTAGTGATAAACTTCTCAGCCTTTACAGTGATATTTGGTTTATTCTGTGGTCTTTGTCATGCTTGACTTTTTCATCAATTTGAGCTGAAGATGTTTTGAGGTTATTAAGGACACAGGCTTAACTGATCTCATTGGGGTTCTGAAATTCTTGATGTCATTGGGATTAGAATGAATGATATAAGGATTAGACACAGGGTATTAAAGCTGGGACTGAAAAACTTAGTCTTCAAGAAACAAGCAGGTAGTGTGAAAATATGGTTGTGTTTTTGCTTTTTAGAAAAAATAATGTGTTTTTCTCTTGGAAATGGCAACTTGTTTCGTTCATAGTTTGAGCCATTTGTTTTCAAGTTAACTGATTTGTACTGTGCTTAAGGGAACAAAATTTGGCAGAAGTAGGATCCTTAGTTCTGAAACAGCCTCAAGTCAAGACTTCTGGAGAGTATATTGATAAGGTGGAAGATCTCATTGCTTCTATAAATGACGCAGATGCTTAGCATTTCATTGAAAGGAGTGCCCGATTGCCACACCCATATTCTATTGTCACTTCAATTTGATTTATATTTTTTTTATGTAAAATACCTTTATTTTTATATAGTTATAAGAGAGAGAAAATGATATTTTAAACAAAAATAACTTAAAAGGGTGTAGCAATAAGCTCGCTCATATTAAAACTTGGACATTATTGAAAGAGTAATATAACAACAATAGGGGTGAAATCTGCAGGTTCCTTTTCTTAATATTAATTCTTTCTAGACACTTTAGAACTAACTGTATGTATGTGATTCTTATTATATTCTTATCTGGAGCACATCTGTGGCCACCTCAAAGCCATTTGGTCTGAAGCACTTTTTCTTAATACACCTTTTCTGAAGCGGATCCAATCATCAAGTACAATTCTCAAGTCATGAACTTTGCTTGTGAGATCATCACAACAGTTAGCATGAATGGTATTAGCCTCCCTTAACATATCCTTATTTAGCTGACAAAACCCACCAAAATAAGCTGCATTTACATTCTGAAGACGCAAGCGATACATGTCAACTAGATCTTGCCTTTGCATGATAGTTGTACACATGGATTCTACTGCTGGAGAGTTTGGATACAGAACCTTGGTCAATTTCCAATACTTGAAGAACTCAAAGGAAATGGCATTTGCTTTCAAGAAGACGACGCCCCCATCATGCAGCAGGTAACCTCCATCACTTGAGAAATTACATGAAATTGTGAGTTCATATGCTGGATTGAAGTTTGAAAATGGACTTCTAAGCCACAGTACATCTGCATCCTGAAAAATGAAAGTCCCGTGCAATTCAAGTTGATTAATAACCATTCATCCACCATTTTCTAATTGAAATTCTAATAACACTCGAAATTAACCTTTTAACTATTAGCTATAATTTTATGGGACTCAAAATTAACAGCTAGACTCAATAAATTAAGAGCAAGATTATATTATTTTGTTAAGTCCATTAAACAATAGCCAATGATAAATGGTGTTGAAAAATGTGTCTCAGTAAGCTTACAAGAACTCATACCGTGAAAATTATGTTGTAACCCAGTTGAAGCACATCTAGCAAAACATCGTTTCTTGTAAAAGTGAAAGCATTATGATATGAACTTCTAAAAGTGGAGGGGTGGATGCAATTGGGGTGCAAGGACCTGCAGTACTCAAAAGCTTGTGGGTCCATGGTTATGACCAGCAAGTGATTCAACAATCTTTGAGTCCCTTCGCCTGATTTGAAGCTTTGTAGTAAAATTTCAAGCATAGATCCTGGACTTGCCCATGATTCGTCTACCATAGTTAGCAAAACTGTTCTGTCTGGCATTGTCGTTCTCTTCAGCACATGAATTAGTTCTTGTTTTGGCGAGTGCTGCTGGTATGGAAGTAATGGTAAATTAAATGGGCAAAACTCAATCATTTTGAAAATTTAGTAAATGTATGTTCTGATTTAATATGCCAGTAATCAATTTTGACATGTCTTATTACAAGTTCATTCAAATACATGTTTTGCACGATTGAACAAGTTTCACTGCTACATAAAACTGCAATAGAAACTCTTTTAATGATGTAACAAAACAAAACATGATAAATTGAAGAAACAGTTTGCACACACCTACCTGTATACAACAAATTCAAATCCAAATTAAATGACAATGTAAAAATGATTGACAAATAAAAATATTGAATTCTCATTCGTAAAAGTATAATAACCTACAGATATTTTCCTTCTTATGTTATCATGCGTCTTCCTTATTTTATAAAAGATGTTTTAATTTTTGAATTAAATCAAATCAATGTGTTTCTAATTATTTATTCATACAAATAATATTTTTAATTTCTTGAATAAATAATGAATATTTTCAGCCAGACATTATTAGTAAAATATAATTTTATTAATTAAATTAACATTTTAACTAATTTTAATTTATACTAAAAATAATTGCAAAAAATTATTACTTGATAGAGGAAGAAAAAAAAATTGAAAATCTTATGTGAATCTATACAAAATAAGTGACTAAGGTCATATTAAATTTGTATTTGGTAGCTTATATCAGAATTTTAAAAATCAATAAAATCAATGTCTATTAGTTGTATTTATATTTAACTTTAAGGTGTTGTTTGAGAGTTTAGAAAAAAAAAAAAAAGTTAAAAAGAGAGTTTGAGAGGATAAAGAAGGAGAAGAAAAGAAAAGACGAATAAGAGTTAACCAAAATTTTTCTAATTTAGAAAACTTAAAAATATGAGTTTATAAGAGGAGGGGATTTTAGATTATTTATAAAAGTTTTTTCTCACTTTTAAAAACTTCAAAAGATATCATCAAATAAAGACAAAATTTAGGTACGATACCATTGCAGTTCTTCAATTAGAGTTAGAATACCACAATAATATATATTAGCTGACTTTCATTATGCAAATCTTAAGGTTGTGTTTGGATACAGGCATTTTAAAATTTTTATAATTCATTAATTTGGACAATAAGAAAAATAGTTTCACTACAAAATTTTACCTAGATGACTTTTATGTTAAATACAAAAAATTTCAAAAGACCTGTTTTAAAGAGAATTTAAAAATCCCTTATTATATGTTTAAATTTTTATATTTATCATTCATAATTTCTCTTATATTTGACTCCCACTTTAAGCATCCCTCGTTATTGTTTTCATATTTTTTATAATTTTAAAATTCTTTATTCAAATATGACCTAAGTTTAAGTTGTCTAACGCATTTTAAACAAGTAAGTCAGTTAAACTTAAGCTTAATTATTCTCTCCCATTTTTGAATCAGAGTCAGGTTTAAAATCTTAATATATATTAGAGTTTATCCTGTTTAAATGTTAAGTTGTTCACAAATGTCTAGTTCTGTTGGACCACATGCAAGTGTTAGTCCTACAAACTTCATGTACCATATGTCTAATTTTGATAATTAAGAAGTATATTAAGATATCTCACTTGGATAAAAATAAAAAGAAAATATTCTTTATAAGAATTGAGAAAAGTCTCTTCATGTGTGCTAATTTTTAAGAGAAAGTTAGACCTAATTTTCTATTGTGGTATTAGAATTTAAATCTAAAACAAAATTAAAAGACCCAAAAATAAAACAAAAAAAGTAAATAAATAAATAAATAGACTTATGACGTTTAAAAAATTTCAATAAAAAGGAGCACAAGTTTAATAATAATAATAATAATAATAATAATAATAATAAAAGACTTGAGGTAAAGGCTCAAATTTAAAATATAAATCTAGGTTAAAAAAAAATTAAAAATGCAAGTCACCACTAGATGTAAGTTAGTTGGATTTGAAGAAAAATATTACACAATATAAAGTTTCACATTGATAGATTAGTAACAAATCAACTAGTACATAAAAAAAAAGATTTTAAGCCTAAATTTATAAGATAAATAGGTCACAAAAAGTTTAAGTCTAATCACTGCTTCTAACTTTTGAATTGAGTGAACGTTCAAAATTCTAATATGGTATTAGAGCTTAAATTCAAACAAATAAAAAAAAATTTAAAGACTCAAATTAATAATTGAAAAAAGTCAAGCATGCAAAAAAAAAAAAAAAAGACGAAGGTATTTAAAAGAAAATCAAGAAAAAATTTGTTCAATTAATAAAAAAATAAAATAAAGGCTCAAACTTCACAATTTCAAACTAAAAATTTTTTGATCCAAATCAGAATTAAAGCAAAATTAATTGAACTTGAAAAGATATATTAAAATAATAAAGTCTTAGGCCTAAACTTAAGTACAAAAAGCGCAAACTAAATAAAAAAAATGTAAGTTATAATTAAGTTCTAACTAATTGGAGTTAATAAAAATTATTAAAATAATACAATATCACGTTAGTAAGTCTGCAATAATTTAAAAAGTATATAAACAAGTTAAAACTTAAAGCTAATTTAGATGCACAATTAAAATAGCAATATAAACTTTCTTTTTCTCAAATTAACTCGTATAAACAAAGTCCAAAAACAGCCTATTTTTATTATTTTTATTTTTATCACATTTCAGATAAGAAACGGTTATACAATTATTTATGCTCTAATAAAGCTATATTTATTGCTATTTGTATATAATTTTTTAAAATAATAAATGCGATTATAAATGCTCTAGTCAAACAAATCATATACCTGGCAACAAAAGGATAACCTCAACGTTTCTTTGAGAAATATCTGCAACCTATTTATTTACACCTTTTTTTAACGAAAAATGTTAACAATATTCTTTATTCAGGTACATTCTCTGTAAATAATTCACTTTTATGAAATTCATATTTCATAAATTATTTTTATGATCAATCTATTTTTAAAATGGTCAAAATTATCATGTAAATGAATTATTTTACAAAATAAATTTTAATTGTTTAAAAATTGATTAATAATGAAAAAATATTTACTAAAGAGTGTGTGAGAATACGTTACAGTTATTCTGAGGTTGATACAAATAACAGAAAGCAAATTAAAAAGAATATGCAGAATGCATAGAATTGTGAAGGGTTGAGTAGAATTACCTTTCTGACAGCCGTTTGAACTGATCTGGGATAGTGAGAAAGAAGAAAGCAGAGCAACACGATCAAGAAAGCTGTGAGGGGAAGATACAGAAACTTTCTCAATCCCAAAGTTCTCATCCTTGCAAATGCAAATGCAAGTGAAACTTGGTCTGAGTGAGCTTGAAAGTTAGGTCTCAACTCAAGTATTGAAAAAGAGGGGATTTGTAGAGAGAAACACCTTTGCATTAAAGGGAGAATCAATGAGATCTGAGAAAAGCAGAAAAAACAAATCTTTATATTAAAATGGATTGAATTGACTTAAAAGGCAGGTTGAACGAAATCCATAGGAAACAGAAAAGGAAAAGATTTAATGCTAACAGTGCGAAATGTGATATGCTTTTCAAGGTTTCCTTTATTTTGGTAACTTTTGTTGGTTCGGTCCCATGCGAATGTAATGGATATCTATGATTTCCAATCAGTATCTTTTACCCGTCAATTCCATACCCTTTTTCCATTCTCTATCTGCTGTAATTAAATAAAATATTATCAATTTAACCATTCAATTTTAAATCTACCAAATTTTATATGATCCATCGTCTACTTTATTTAAACATATACTGTTATTATTTTTAAAATATACAAAATATGTAAACTATTTATTTACAATTAGAAATCTAGGAACTACACCTAGAAAATCCTCTATATAGTGAAAGTAATATAATATACTTTTATTAAATCAACTTTTATGGTTTAATTTAAATATCTAAAAGTAGTAAAATAAAATAAAATTTATATTACACTTTTGTATCTTCAACGTAATAAATGCTTAATTTAATAAAATTCTATTATTTTTAAATACTTAAATTCAATTATAAAAATTTAAATTAACAAAATTGCTTAAAATATAAGTAAATAGTTATTATTAGATTATATATTTACAAACATTTAAGTAAATTAAAATTTATACATATGATCTTAATAATAAGATTACATGAAAAATTAATGATTAAATTGCAAAAATTTACTTTTAATAAATGTCACAGTTTGCTAATGTATATTTATCTATTTTTTAAAATATATATTTTAATAAGTTATACCTTTGATTATATTATTAAAAAAATTAAAGTTATAACTTATTAATATATAAAAATAAATATATGTAATATTTTTATGATAATTAAGTTTTGTCAAATTTTAGATGACATAGACATTTTATAGATATATAATTTAATAATAAATATTTATTTATAATTTAAGTAAAACAGTATATATTAAAATAAAGTGATAATGTGAAGTATTAATTAATTTTTAAAATTATAAAAAACTCTTTTTAAGATTTCATCTATTTAATGGTAACTTTAAATCTAATAGCTAATTGATATTTTTTATAAAGGAATTATTAAATATATTAATTTATAAAATTTTATACACGATGTTAAGATGTCCTATCTCAAATAGGACAGCTTATATGTCAAATATTAACATGTATTTTCTACTTTAGACAGTCCATAATAATTTTTTATTCTTTTCCAATTTATTCATTGTTGGTTTTGGCAGAAAATAGAAGAAAAACGTTAAAATGAAGAAACATATTAATAAAAACAAAAATATATTCTTAGATTTTTTTCTTTTTCCGTCTATTATTCTATCAATCAAATAATACTAAAAATATTCAAAATATAAAAAATTTCGTTTTATTCCTCTATTTTCATACTCTTTATTCAGGTAATATACATATGTATGAAATATTTTTTTCTCGTAAGCTGTTATTTGTGTCATTTCTATTATTATTTATGTAAACTATATGTAATTCATACGTATATAATAAATTTAAATATTTATTTATGAAGGTGCAATGACATCTGTATATACTTTCCTTCGGATTTCATGTGACACTTGTCTTTGCAGTTTCACATTAAGTAAATTACAAATATATACTTTTATTCTTTTGTTAATTATTTAAACAAAATATTTTTAAATTTTTTTAATCAATGGTCAAATTGTTTCAAATAATATTAAATGAGTAATATTTGCTAAACACTATTAAAATCACTTTTATCATCAATTAATTTAATTTTAAAATTTTTCCATAACTAGAATTTTTTAAAGCTAATATTCTAGATTCTTTTTATTGTTTGTTATTAATAAAATAAAATTTTATTAATTCAACTAATTTTACTCAAATATTTTTATTCTATGCATTTTTTATTTTCTTATAGGTAATGGAAAACAAAATTAATAAAGGTTGAAAATAGTGAAAACAATTAATATTTCACAAAATGCCAAACTATAATTCAAATTTTATTATAAAATATACTCATTTAATATATAAATAATAAATGTTATGATACCAACATTTATTAAGTGTGCCGGGTGCTGAATATATATGAATATAAAAAAGTTTGTATTTATTAATTAATATATACAGATTAAAAATTAATGCAGGTTGACCATTGACTATGAGTTTTATATTTACTAGGTATTCATAAAAAATTTTGTTAAAATGTTATACATATATTATAATATGATATTGTATTTGACTAGAGATATTTTTTTTTTTATAATTTAATACTTTATCTGAAGTAATTTTTAAAGGAAGTTATTTATTTTATAATCATATTCATGTTTTATTAGTTCATAAAAAATATTAAAAATATATATTTTAGTTAATAAACTATAAGTAACAACTAACGAGGATAGTAAGGGAATTGAAGTACCCAGCAAGTACGATTATAAGAATCAAAATCGTTACTTCTACTGCTATCATAATTAGCATTAATAATTTTTTTAAATTATAAATTTTAGAATTAATATTATAGTACTTTACTCAAATCCTACACGTTTGATATTACGCTATTTTACTCAAACCTTACACATTTTATCCTTAATCAAGTTAGTAAAAAATATTTAACTAAGATCCGCATTATTCACAAAAAAAATTATTCAAATCTTTGAAAGTTTCATGTGATATTTGTTTTTTATTAAGGCTATGTTTAGATGTCATCTTGACGAGGAATGAGAAAAAAAATGATTAATAGAGTTCAACACTTATTGTTTAAAAGTTACTTAATTAAGAAAAAAAAAATAATTTACTTAATTGAGTGAACCTTCCAAAATTTTTTAAAACTTTGGATTTTTTGGTACTTCTATTTTAGGAATTTTTCTCTCTCACTCTTTTGTACTATTTTACCATTAAATATTTTTTTTTCAAAATATGTTAGTTGTTAAAATGAGAATTATTTTAAAAAAGTAAAAAATAAATATTAATTTTAAACTTATTAATTTTTACAAAGAGAAAAAGATTTTTTTTTTTTTGATAAAAATAAAAAATATAAATAAAAGATATGAAAGACAATAATATCGTTTATATAATTAAACTCCTATCATTCTTCTTTTTCAGTATTAAACATCCAAATAATAGAAGAGTTTAAGACTTCTTTTCTCTTCAAATT